CTCTCTCTCTCTCTCTCTCTCTCTCTCGCTCTCTCTCTCTCTTCCGACTGCTCATGCGTTCGAAAATGGAGTCACCTTCTCCAACGAACTAAACACAGACAAACAGGATAAAAGAAAAAAGACACTCCTTCACGCTTGACATGTGCAAGCCGAGAATGACGACAAACACGGCACTCAGGCCCCGTCACACGAAAACAATGCAATTCGAAAAAAAGGATGGCATAGCGCGACGAGCCCCTTCTCAAGAATACAATTGCATTCCAGGAATGACACGCTGGTGGTACAAACAAGAAACCAAAAACAAACAAACAACAACGATTGCCAATATGGAGACGAGTTGATGGAGAGAGAGAGAGAGAGAGAGAGAGAGAGAGAGAGAGAGAGAGAGAGGTGAAGGGGAAGACGTAGGTAAGGATTGAGTGACGCAGGCGGGTGGGGGGGCAGAGAGTTTCTGAGAGACTGAGAGGGAGGAGGCGAGGGGCGGACATGTGAGAGGAGGGACAGCCCGGACAGGTGCCAGGTGGTCCCGGAAAAAGAAAGAACAATATTGAACATTGGAACGTACCGTCTCGAACATAATCTGCGTCATCTTTTCACGGTTTTGCTTGGGATTGAGAGGCGGCTCGGTGAGCAGGACCGGATGCTCCTCGGGGGATATACGCAGCTCGTTGTAAAACGTGTGATTCCAAATTTTCTCCATATCGTCCCAACACGTGACAATGCCGTGATCGATGGGATACTTCAGCGTCAAAATGCCACGTTTCGACTGCGCCTCGTCGCCAACGTAGGCGTCTTTCTGCCCCATTCCCACCATCACCCCGTGATGACGTGGCCGCCCCACAATGCTCGGAAACACAGCACGTGGCGCATCATCCCCAGCGAATCCCGCCTTAACCACCCCCGACCCATTATCGCACACAACGGCAGACGCCTCTTCTCCGTCCGACATCTCTCTCTCTCTCTCTCTCTCTCTCTCTCTCTCTCTCTCTCTCTCTCCTGTCTCTTATACACATCTAGATGTGTATAAGAGACAGGGCGGAACAACAACACAGTAGGGGCTGCAGGGCAAGCAAGGGGGGACATAAACCGGCGGAAGCAGCCTGAAGCAAAGCAGACTATCGCCTACGCGCATCATATGGAGGACCCCAGCAGACTGTAGGTACTATGTAGGATCACGCCACTAGAAGGAGATAGGAAACCACGAGACGAACGTCTGTCACCGACGGAAAACACAGACACACAAGCAATGTCGAGCATCCCAAACACCACGGGCCCCCTAATAGTGATGCAGGCACTTCTTACAAACACGCACCTACTCTTGAGAACAACTTGAAGGTACTCAACTTCGGCAGAATGGGCACAGAGACAAACACGGGAAAAGGCTAATCAACGCAACAGATAAACCACAATCCAAAGAACACAAGTATAAAAACTGTTTGTGTGTGTGTGTGTGTGTGCGTGTGTGTGTGTGTGTGTGTGTGTGTGTGTGTAGTTGGTTGTG